GGGGTGATTATTAAAGATGCGTGTTAGCAACTGGCTTATTTTATATAAGGGTGCCTTACATTATATATAAGCAAATATTTAAAATTAATATATCATATTTTTAAGGAAAAGGAATGTGGACATTTTCACGTATTCGTATTACAATTCTACGTCAAGGAAATTTGTAGCAAATCCACGATTATGTTATATGTTTAAATCTATTTCAGTTTGTTCTCATTCATCCATTTTTACGTTGTCCTTATTGACGGAAACTGATGTGCTGTATTTTTACACACGAAAAATTAGACACATGAATCAGCTTAAAATTAGCAACATATCCTCACTTTTGTTGCTTTGAAATGTGCTACTATACCGGAATGCGTGTACCATTCAAATCATTCATCAGATCAGTTGCACCTTTAGTCATTCACTTTACAAAATGTGACATTTATGGTACGATTTACGGCTTACTCATGGGTGACGAAGTAATTATATAGTTGCTTTTTCTTCTAACGATTTGTAGATGCAATTTTTTGGCATTTGGAATGTTAAAAGAGATTAAGAATGTTAAAAATGCCCCAAACGTATCAATTAGTGAATAAGAACAAGGGCATTCAATTCATGATAAGACATACATTTTAGGATGAATAGACCATAGGTTACTTTATTTCTTTTCACTTGTATTATTTTACTAAATTCCACTGATGTTTCAATTGAGTCAAGAACATCTTGTGCGGAAGGATACTTTCTGAACATCACTACGTTGGAGGATACATAACAAAATGTTATTTCATTAAAACGAAAAGCGGTGAGTAGGGGAGCAAAAGATGTTAACTCATTATATATCGTTCGTCCTTATGCATGGGAGAACTTCAAAATCAAGCTACTTTTAATCACAAACAGATGCGCATAAAATTGTTAATTCAAAGGTTCAGATAATCGCTTAATTACATACTATAATAATAATGGGAGTAATGCTAAGGATAATGAGAAGTATTACTAATACTTCAGTTAGGTTTGGTAGAATTATATTTTATGAAATATTTCTATTAGTTAAATGTCCTTCAGATAAACTTTGCAGACCAATTAGGGTTGAACTCTCTTAAGAAACTGTACTTGATATGACAATATGAAAACAAAAAATTTAATGATGTGGATTAAATGAAAGAAAAGGGTACTGTAGCGCATATGTTTAAAACAAATGTATATATATGTTACGGGAATTTAAACGTTATAACGATAGGGTGATATATATATATATATATATTAAGACTTAAAATAAAAAAAAGAAAAAAAAAGAAGAAATGATAGCAGTAATTAAAAAACAAAGGTTATATATATTTCTTATGCGCTGTTCTATCCTTGAAGCAACAGGTGGTATGATTGTAATTATATTATACAGTATATAGGGGGATCAAAGGAACGCAGAGAAGTTGAAGATTTCTAAAGCCTAATTCTTTTGACTTGCAGATATGCTGTTCTGTACATTTTTCAGACATAGGGAGATAGAAGAAGACTCTCTTTTTTCTCTCTCTCTTACAGAAATTTGAACCCCTTGCTTTTTCCTGAAATAAATAATTATTACCATAAAAGTTATATTCAAAACATACTCTTTATTAATTTCTATATGCTTCTTCTAAGTCCATGATCAAATAATAACAATGTCATTTTGTATATGTATATATAAAAGAACATACAGAAAGAATCGAGAAACATAGAACACGAAACGATTTGTATAAAAATAAAGGTCAATTTCTAGTCAGCACGCATTATTCAATAGTAGAATTTGTAGAATACATAATTTAAATGGTGAACTAATTACATATCCTCATAGTGATTAGTACGTAAAGAGCATATATCAACAAAAAGGTAACACCTTCTGTTGGTACATTTATAGTCTTTTAAGATAATTCCGATTTTGCACACTTTTCCTATAGTATGATCGCACTTTTCTGACGTTTTTGGGGGAACTTCCTCTTATCCTTTATTTTCAAATGTTTAAAAAAAGAAAGCTTTCTTCGATCGTTCTTAATTAGTATATGTATACATATAAATCCACTGTCAGCTACCATTCTCATTACACCTTTTGGCGTCTTATATAGCAGCAGAATAAATAACTTTGTTTGTTCCTCTTATTACTTGCTCTTTTAGAAGACTTTTTAAAAACAGCAGAATCTTCTTCGCTTTTTCTTTTTAGCTCCACCTCCTTCACCGTCATATGTTGAAGTACTGCTTGGTCTTCTTATACTG